ACACCCAAGCAGTGACCAGTGACTGCTCCCTCACTGTCCTCAGTCAGATACTACACACACTCGTGGACAATGGGATTTGAGACGATGCCTACCCTGAACTCAACAAGCCAAGAATTTTCACTTTCTAGGTTTTTTCCTTCAGGTTCCTTTGAGGCAACACTCAACCCCTGACTTCACCTAATAGATTCACTTGCTGCTCTGTCCAGTAGCCCTTATGTCTGGGGCTGCATGGGGTCTTGGGGCAGTCTGATCATCAAGGTAGGCTAGGGTATTTAAAAGGCTTGTGTACAAGTCTGGCTTGTTATATGTCAACTTGACCCAAGCTACAGTCATGTTGCAAGACAAAGCCTCATTTGAACACACCACCATCAGATTGGCCTATGAGCAAAATTATAGTACATTTTTAAAATTGGGAATTGATGAAAAATGATTCAGCCCAATGCAGGCAGTTTAAGTGCTGGACTGAGAGTCACAGGTGACGTAAGAGTTCTAGCAGAGCAAGCATGAAGAGCAAGCTAATAGGAAGCACTGCCCCATGGTCTCTGTACCAGTTCCTGGATTTTATTTATGACACACAATTTAGAGCTAATAAACACTCCAGTTTGACGTGGCTATTCTAAAACCATTGTTCCCTGTCAACTTTGAGAGGGTGTAAGTGAGGAGCACTAGAAAAATGCTCCACTGGGTCACATTAGGCCAGCCTTGGAACCATGACAGGATTCTGGAGTCTCTGGTCTAAAGTCCCAAGAGATTGGGCTAACACTGACATCCTAAACTGATTTACTTGCCATCAAAGTCTTCCTTGATGCAGGTGGATTCAGAATATGGAATATGACCTATGGCCATTTGTCTCTATCAGGGTGTCCTGCACTAATTGCCCAAAGCTCCATCTGGGACACAGTGAAGGGGAACAGAGGCTAGGCCAGCCATGACAGTCCTGTGTGTCTGAGCCTCACCCACCACTAAACAATCCCAAATAACAACTTACAGTCCACGTGGAGTTGCACTTGCACGTCATCGGTTTTTGCATCTGCCCTCAGAAATCGAGGGGTGTAAAAGCCACTGTCTTTCCGAGTGACACGCTGAATCAGCAGGGATCCATCATTGTTCATTATCTGCCTGCCTCTGTATGCAGGCCCCCACAGTGTTGGTTTCCTGTCTCGTACATTTTGGATACCCACAAGGTTCTTGAGGTCAATTTTTCCTTTGAACCATATATAGCTAGTAGTAAGCTCTGGAGGATTTCGA